ACATGCACCGATTGGCTCCTTCTCCTGAGCGGTCCGAGTAAGACACGAAGTGCCTGACAGGGATCAACATCAAACACCGCAGAGGCAGCAGAACATGGGATAATCTGCTTCATCCTCTAACTTCTAAGGGATTGGCTTCAGCTTCCAAGCAAAATGTTTGATATTACTTTCAAAAAATTAGCCCTCAGTGGATCATCCAGACATTTATCATAGAATCATAGAATGATTAGGGTTGGAAGGGACCTTAAAGATCATCTAGTTCCAACCCCCAAATTTATTCCAATTTTACATGCAAAACCAGTGCTTGCTACTTTACAGGTAGGGAAACTGATGATTCTTTCAAAGCTGAAGCTGAAAGCTTTCATAACTACAGCCAAAAGACAGGCATGTCAATTTTTAGTCTCAATTTGTAACAGCCAAGAAACTTGGAAAGTAACTGATTTTCTTAAACCAAGACATCCTTCTAGATTTGGTATGTGCATACGATTTAGTTAGAGGTATAAATCTCTTACACTTTCTGCATTGAGTGTAAATACCACTTTTGTTCCACTCCCAGTCCGTCACTGCCTACACATTTTGGAAAGACAAACCCAGTAAAAACTGCCTGCAGCGTCTGCACACCAGACTGACGTATGAGCTAGCATCACGCAACTGATTGCGCTGACTGCAAGACCTGCCAGTGTGACACAGAACTGACAGACTAGGTTTGCAGAGCTTAAAAATAACGAAAGAAAGAATTAATGTCCGACATCAGAGCTTATAACCGAAAACATAAATCATAACACAATTAACTGTCCCATTTGGTAATAAAATATACAAAATGTAACCAAAATATTCTCCAGAGAATTAAAATACCTTAAGCTTCAAGTTACCGGAACCAGGTTAAACGATCTATTTTTCAAGTTTTAGAACTTTTTTGGCCAATCAAAACAGTTTGAAGGAGAACAGTTTAAGTTCATACATATAAAGAGATGCATAGCTAACTAAGAAAAGTATGGTTGAAAACCACCTCTTAATTTTCAGTGCAGTAATGTGTTAAAAAAAAAAATCAGCACATACCTTCTATCTACAGTTTTCAGCATAGTCTGCATTCTCTCTTCTATTGTTGCTTTTATCAGGAACCTATGAACAATGGTGGACCTGAGCGTGTTAAAAAAAAAAGACAAGACCAGAAGTGAGCAGAAGTTATGCCGTTACTGTTCAAGACCACATTTTGTCTCATACTAATCACTGTAACAGTGCTGAAAAAACGCCTCTGTATTTTAAGAAAGAAATCTTAGAAGGTGATTAACAACTTCCACTGACATTTAAGGATGCTTGGTGCCTCCCAGAGCACACAATTCCACTTGGCTGGCTCACCTAATAAATGAGTAAGCTGTATGAACTAAAGTCCTAAAGCAGATGCTGGGCAAAGTTCCACTTTCCGCATGGCTACTAGAAAAAGTCCTCAAGAGCCCAGCCTGTCGCTGAAAGACGTGGCTTTGGCCCATGGGATATATACAGTCTATACTGCATTGTCACAAGTCAGTCCGAGAGACCAGAGCTCAGTGTGACGGATAATTAAAGCTCATTCCCAAACTTTTACCAATATTGTTCTTGAAGATGGCAAAATATTTTTCTTGAAGTCAGTAACTGCAGTCAGTAAATACGAAATCGTAAACAACAGTGAGACATAAGCCCCAAAATGTCAATAAACATAAAATTAAATGAAAACTCCGTTTCTGAAATAAAATTTCAAAAAGAAAGCTGCAACTAAACAAAAAAAGAAGAAATGTTGGGCATAAGAGTGAAACAGATGAGAGTCAGCTCCAAAAATAAAAATCATTCCAGGCTCCCCAGTGTAAACAATTTTCACGAAATGAACCCTTTAAAAGGCTTGGATGGCTTTCAGATCTTAAGCTGAAGCTTTGGCAGGTAACATTACACAGAGGAATTCTCAGGAAATACTTAGTGATTCATCGGCAAAGGTGTATCCAGAATGAGAGAGCAAACAAGAACTCAAGTGAACAGGTATAGGTGCACCAGTGCAACTGAACAGAATATTCCCTTACGCTCACTGCACGAGAACAACGCCCTTTTTCAAATAAGCCTGGCTCAAGTCTTATTCTGGCACAGCACACATTCTTGCTGCTCTTAGTGCAAGGTTTTTGCCAGAGCTTTCATGCCAGCATCGTGCAAATTAATAATGCAGGCTGCTGCCATCGATCTTTCCTATACCCTCACAGTTCATTCCGAATCTTTACCAACATGCCCCAGTATCCACCTGTGCATAAACATTCTTTCACATGGATGCTGGTTCATGGCCTCTCCTTTCGCCTCCATTTCCAGAACACAAACCCCACCATTTTTCTGGAATATTATTATTCCAGAATTTGAGTCCAGCTATTTTTCTTCTTCATGTACAGGTTTTTATTATTTTTTTCAAGTGACATGAAACCTAAGGAAATGCAGACACATTTTATCCATTCAGGACAATTTTTCCAAAGCCTCTGTTAAGTGTTCAGTGCTATCCATGTAAAATCTGCAATACTGAAACGAATGATATGCAAACTCATTAAGTCCTCAAAAAGATCTAGATGGGGGTGAGGACAGAATTGTGATTTTAAAACTAATCAGATCTAAAAAGTGTGTGCTATAACTTTTGTTCTGGAAAAACCCCCACAAAATCCTAACAAAAAAAAACCCCAATAAAACACAAACCCACCTCCCATCCGCCCCCTCAATTTACACAGCTCCTAAACTGGAGCTGGGAATGACCAGCTAGACATGTCTCAAGGAAACTAGGAAGGACCATGCCTGAACTTCACTACGTACGACACAAATGGTGAGTTGCACAAACCTGTAAAGCCCAGACCTTTCTGGACACGCTCACAGGCAGAACTGCAAAGTTAAAACCTAAGGCATCAATGGCACACACAGAATAGGGCAGCAGCTGAACAAGGTTTTCCAGGCTTTTGGGTTCAGAAGCCTACACTCTGCCTAAGTTCAGCTTGCTTCTGCACCTTACCCCTGTAGCACCAACTCCCTAAAATACACATTGTGTATTTTCAGCAAACTTTCGGGTTTTTTTTTTCTTTATTTTAATCCTTTTGTCTCTTACACGATCATCTTTAAAAATGGGATTCCTATGAATACCCTCACCTCCAAAACTCACTGCAATCTTAACTCTTACTTTGTTTGGCCAATACGATGCACTCTGCCAATAGCCTGTAGCTCATGTGCAGGATTCAGAATGGGTTCCACAAGCAGAACATGAGTTGCTTCGATGATGTTTAGTCCATTGGAACCAGTGTGAAGAGGCAGCAGCAAAATATTGATGTTGGGATCATATTTAAACGCAGAGAGATTTTCCTAAAAGGCAAACAACACAGAGTGATGAAAGTTCCTCAAGAAAGAAAGTGGAGGACAGCTCTCTATTTTCAAGAAATTATAGCAGCTACTGCAGGCCCCAGTGTGACAGTCTTGCAGCCTGACTGATCCAAGACCTGTCATCCAGAACAGGAACTCGGCAGGTATCAGTTAGGAAAGAAATCCTTGCAACACAGATCAGTGTGTCTCATCCTTAACACCCAGGCCAATGCTTCTTTCTCTAAAGTGAACGTACCGTTTATTTCCCAAGGCTTTACATTGTGGGGTTTTGTGACTATGACTTTTAGAATTAATGAGTTCGAGATCAAAGCTTCTGCCACAATGTTTTCCCACTCTCTCAATTTCTCAAATGAGGCAATGAAGTAGAAGTATAAAATTTACGTTTAGAAACTGTAATTTGTCCCACTGAAAACATTTTAAAGAAAAATATCCCTTATGTACCTGAAATTTATTAATCCCATTGATCTGAGAAAAAATCATGTTGTTGTCATATAAAGCCTTTGAAATTATGTCCAACATATCTTGCCACTGTAGAAAAAACAAACCAAACAAAAACACAAAGCACAATAAAAGTAACTCAACATTACAAACAGCAATAACAACTAAAATATACTAATTTACCTACTCTTTCTTAGAGATGTTAAAAGGCCTTTCAAAATACTAGTATTTGCAATTTTTTAAAAGAAGGAAAAAAAAATTGTGTGCCAGGAACCAAATCTGTCATAAAACTAAATAAGAAACGTAATTAAAAAGATCAGCTTGAATAAGAGAAATTGGTAGGCATCACAAAAGCAGCTTTACAATGTATCAAAAATACCTGGACATTACGATTAAAAGATCTAGAATTTCTAATGCTCCCCTACAAAACCAAGTATTTGCCCTTTAACGAAGCAAGCTTTCATATCTGTTGACTACCATAATTTTCACGTCGCAGTTACATGAATTGCCCTAAAAATGCCCAACACAGTCTAGTGGCTGTACAGAGTGGTTCAACATTTTGGTAGCTAACCTACTTCCTGAAAATATTACGACCGTTTTAAAGTCACACACACAAAAAGACAAGACAGAAAATGGTGATTCATACCGTTGAGAAAACTAAGGATTTAGCCCCCGGATCTTTAAACTGAATTCTCTTCAGCGTTCGGACCACAGCTTCCACTTTGGTGGAGTGACTTCCCTTTGAAAAGTCAAAGCATTAGTAAAGTAGGATATTAAACAACTCCTTCCACATTCACTGCTTTATTAAAATAATGTTATATTAGGACTCTTGCATATCTTACAGAAATTTAAAAAGTGAGCAGCCTAGAGGGAGGGCAGGTTAAGTAGCACTGGACTGCTTGGACACCTCCCCTACATGCACTGCTATGGGATCACCGTGTACTACAGGACGTGCCGTACACAAGGAATGAGGTGCCACACGGCTACACCTAACTAGGTCCGTGTGAGGCAGACTGGATAGCCCGAGCAGTGCAGTTGACCAAACACGTCAGTCAGGCCTCCTGAGGTTTAACCCAGTGACACAATCTTTAAAGAAATTCCTCCCTTCGCACCTCTTGCAAACTGGCAAGGAAAAAACCTACCCGAACGCTATTTCTGTTGCTTTTGTTTCTCACTTTGGCAACACCAAACTTATGCTTAGTACTATGAATCTTGTTAGTTATATTTAAAATAGTAAGACATTGGTAAATATAATAAAAGGATCGTGCATTGCAATGGAAACATCTTTACATTCTGCGTTCAGAAGTATTTATGAATCCAATACTACATTCTTGCCCACTTTGAATTCTGTGCTACTCCCTTTACCCTGAAGTCAGGAAGAGGATTCCAAGAAACAGTTCTTTAGTATCTCCCTCTATTTCCTTCAGTATGTACTTTGGATTACAGCAATTTTACCTCATGTGTTTTATTCAGAAGCCTTTATTTAATTTCCTTACTAGTTCTTACATGCACAGTAATTTCAAGCTGCACTAGATTCAGCGGGACACGTATTGTTTGACTGCTGTCTGCACCTGCCCTTCGACCCTGAAGGAATGAACCATGCTGGCTTGCCACAACGACAGATCAGACGCACTGAAGTTAGGCCGCTTGCAGAATCGGCGGGGGAAGGACGTCAGCAGTCTAAGCACAAGATGAGAACTCATGCCTGACCGTTCGCGTGTCATGCGGCTAAATGAACGCTCCAGAAATACACGTAAAAACCTTCCTGACGTTTTACTGAGGCCTACAGTAAGCAGCACCATTTTATTTCCCATGGTCTTCTGTAGCGATTCCAACCCTGTGCCACAGACATAAAAGTAAACCATCTTTTTTCATGACATCTGTCGCACCTGGGAGACATTAACTCTGCTTCCAAGTCAGACAATTAAAGATGTTCATGTTGGTAGATGTTACGATCTGCAAGGGAGAATGGCACATATGCAGCCCTACAGCAGCTGCCGACAATCATAACCACCTTCAGTTAGGAGATCCAAAACTAACTTCTGGTATTTATAAGGTGTGCTCTTGTGAGACCCCACCTGAAGTACTGCATCCAGCTGTGGAGCCCTTAACATCAGAAGGATATAGACTGGTTGGAGCGAGTCCATAGGAGGCCACGAAGATGCTCAGAGGGCTGGAGCACCTCTGCTATAGGGACAGGCTGAGAGAGTTGGGCTTGGTCAGCCTGGAGAAGAGAAGGCTCCGGGGAGACCTTATTGCAGCCTTCCAGTACCTGAAGGGGCTACAAGGAAGCTGGGGGGGACTTTTTACAAGGGCCTGTAGTGACAGGACAAGGGGTAACGGGTTTAAATTGAAAGTGGGGAGGTTTAGATTGGATATCAGGAAGAAGTTCATCACAGAGAGGGTGGTGAAGCACTGGGACAGGTTGCCCAGAGAAGCTGTGGATGCCCCATCCCTGGAAGTGTTCAAGGCCAGGCTGGATGAGGCTTTGAGCAACCTGGTCTAGTGGAAGGGGTCCCTGCCCATGGCAGGGGGATTGGAACTAGATGGTCTTTAAGGTCCCTTCCAACCCAAACCAGTCTGTGATTCTATTTCCTATATATTCCAGTGTCATTTATGTGCTTTTCCAATACCATTCCTTTGTGATTCGATGATGGCAATTCTTGCTAATCTGCTCTGTCTTCCACTCAGGGACTTTTTTTGGACCTTACCATGGGTCCTGTTTTTCCCTGCTACACTAGAGAGTAGCTTTAGCCACGCTGTTGATCTTTCAACCCTTTGGACTTCCGTGACTCAGGTGTTACGATCGTGACTTTGCACAAACCCAGTCAGAGGAACCATGGCAAAGAACAGCACAATGTTCCAAGTGGTTACAGGCGTCTTGCTTAGATCCTTAACATTTTTAAAGAGCTAAGGGGCAAAGTTCGCCGTCCCTCTGCGTACGCTACATTAAATGAACCATATTAGACCTGCTGGTGAACTAAAACTGGCTAAATCTTCAGTTCGCATCACACCAATTTTCTGTTTTGTTATCAACATTTACAGAGAGATGAAGCTAACAGAAGTACCTTCGCTATTCTGAGTTCTTGGCGTTCAGCCTGTCTTAAAGTGTTACCCCACTCATTACCCATACACCCCAAGTCTGTTGTTTTGTTGAATACCCAGATGAGTACGTATAACCACATTAGCTAGTTCGACTTACTTATGGAACGGCACAAAGCAGAGCCAAGACTACCCTCTAATAAACAATTTGTTCCAGATGCCAGGCTGACAATACCTACTGCAACACGGAGCAGACAGTGGAAACTGACAGCACGAAAACATGCAGGGATGGCAGTAATCCCTGTCTCAGTGTAAAACGCTCCCAGGTACCACAGTCCTTTTGCACCTAAGGCATTGACTTCAGATGGCCAGTGCGATAAAGAGCAAGACTTACACACCACAATGGAAGAATAAAGACAAGGAACTGAATACTGACAGAGACCAGAAGAAATTAGAAAGTTCAGATGAAAATATACAAGCTGAATAAATCACAATTTTCATATATATACTGCAAGGTATTGACCTTAACCTCAGTATTCTATAGAAACCATACTAAGTTAGCTGTCTTCTGTTAACTGCCCTTGAAGGAACATGAGGCAGATATTTTTAACAAATCTGCCTGTTTTGATAGTATGTACAATGAAGCTACGGTATAAATTGTTAATTTTTCATAAAGTAACGGGCCTCGCTCAAGAAGACATGAGAAATCACACAAAATCTGTATTTTTGCTTTGTCTGAAGTTTTTGATGCAGCAATACTTCAAGAAAACACTACAACCCTTTACACAGGACAGTAGATGACATGTTGCTCCTTCTGTGCTTTATTTATGAAATTTAGCTATCCTAATGTTTTTAGCATAATTTATGCAACTTAATTGAAGTTTTCTTGTTAGAAACAGGGCAACAGCTCTAAACTCTGAGGAAGTGATCTGTTAGAAAACACTTACTGAGTGACATCTTAATAACTAGCACTTCAAAAATACAGCCTGTTTACTCCCCCTGGTGCCACATGCTGTCAACTACTCCAAATCTATTAACTTCAGTAGGAATCACCTACTCATAAAATGGGATTCCAGTTGTCCAGGGAGGGTGACATAACACATAACTAGTATGAATGTAGTAGCAGTGACTTCAGTACAGGCCAGCAACCCTAGCACACCCACAAGGTTCAAAGGTACTTGCACAGACGCCATGCGACTCTGGTGGCACATTTTGTTATTATTTTTGACTATACCTGCCAGATTAAAACTGTGATTGGTATGTCCAGAGGTATTATAATCCTGTTTTAATTAAAGATAGCAGTATAATCTAAACCATTACCAATATTAGTAATTTACCTTTGCATTTTAGTCCCGAACACCCTATTTTTTCCAGAACTGCAATAAGCATATGTTTTTGGTTTAACACTATTCTACAACAGATCTGTGCGAATTACAACTGTACCTATGCACTGCACATGCCAGTATTGCTAAAGACTCATGGAGATGCTGTCTCTTGCTCCAACGCTGCTTTCAACCTAATGGAAACCCCCTGTTACCCAAAAAAGGAACTAAAAGAGCGCAATCCAGGCATTTTCC